ATGAAGGGGGTCACGCTCGGCACGGGCGGCCTCCTCGCCTCCCGCACAGCCACCAGGGGCCTCACGCTCGGCCTCCCTGCCGCTCGCCTCGCGCTCGGAGTGATGGGTGAAGGCGCAGCCCTGCAATGCCGCGTCCACGCACCTGCCGACGGAAGGGTCTCCGCTACAGCGGATGGGTGAGTGGTAGGGTAGGTGGATGTGTGAGTATGTGGGTGGGTGTGTGTATGAGTATGTGCGTGGATGGGTGAGTGTGTGTGTGGGTGAATGTGTGAGTATGTGGGTGGGTGTGTGTGTGAGTATGTGGGTGGATGGGTGAGTGTGTGGGTGGGTACATGTGTGAGTATGTGGGTGGGTGGGTGAGTGTGTGTGTGGGTGAGTGTATGTGTGTGGATGGGTGAGTGTGTATGTGTGTGGGTGCGTGTGTGCGTGTGTGAGCGTGCGTGTGTGCGTGTGTGTAGATGTGTGCGTGCGTGTGTGTGCGTGTGTGTAGATGTGTGTGTGTGCGTGTGTGTGCGCGTGTGTGTGTGTGCGTGTGTGTGTGCGTGTGTAGATGTGTGTGTGTGCGCGTGTGTGTGCGCGTGCGTGTGTGTGTAGATGTGTGTGTGCGTGTGTGTGCGTGTCACGGCCGTCACCCGTGACACGCGCGCTCCCTGTGGCCCACGTGCTGGGTGCGGGGAGCGTGCACGGTGAGCGAGGCCACGCTGCCCAGGTCACACGTGGACTGTAGGTAATGTAGTGGTCACACGTGGACTGTATGTACTGCAGTGGTCACACGTGGACTGTATGTACTGTAGTGGTCGCACGTGGACTGTAGGTATTGTCACACTTTGTGATGAATAGCTCATTGATGCTGATGCATTAAAATCACAACCCTCACCCCATAACCCCTTAAACATAACCCCAAACCCTTGATCCCAACCTCAGGCGTGACCCTGACCTTGACCTCATCATGAACTCCATAATGACCTCTGCCAACGGCGCTGACCCCGCCCCCAGCGCAACCATCACCGTGACCCCCACCCTCACTTCTAAGCCCCTCACCCAGGCTACACGTGACCCCGTGACCTGACTGCAAGCTCAGCCCCTCCGTGACCCCGTGACCCCCCGATGCGAGGACCTCAGAGACGGCACGCGCCCCCGCCCCCCCCATCTCCCCGCACTCATCACCCCCCCCCCCCTCTCCACGGGGCCCGCATTCCAGCTGCATACTTGGCCATAGTCACATACCTCACCTCGAGACGGCCCCCCAGGGAGGGTGAGCGCCGTAACTCTTTGAGAGATCTCCCGTTTCTCCCCCCTCGCTCGCTCGCTCTCTTTACTCGCTGGATCTCTCTCTCTCCTCCACTCTCCCTCTCCACTCTCTCTGTGTTACTCTCTCTCTCTCTCTGTTACTCTCTCGTCACTCTCTCTCCTCTCTCTCTCTCTCCACATCCCTCTGCCACTTGGCTCGGTTCCCGATGCCGCTCGGGTCACCAGGTGCTGCTCCGGCTCGAGTGGAACAGTAGCAGCAGTAGCAGCAGTAGCAGCAGCAGTAGCAGCTGCTGCGGTATCAGTAGCAGCAGTAGCAGCAGCTGCGGTAACAGTAACAACAGTAGCAGCAGTAGCAGCAGCAGCAGAAGTAGCGGCAGCCGCGGCAGCAGCATCAGCAGTCGCAGTAGCAGCAGCGGTAACAGGAGCAACAGTAGCAACAGTAGCAGCAGTAGTAGCAGCAGCAGTAGCAGCGGCGGCGAGTGGCAACGTGAGAGAGGAGAGGCTGTATCGGCTATAGCGCCTCGCCAGGCTGACCCCTGCTGAGCCAGGCTGACCCCTGCTGAGCCAGGCTGAGCCCTGCTGAGCCAGGCTGAGCCCTGCTGAGCCAGGCTGAGCCCTGCTGAGCCAGGCTGAGCCAGGCTGAGCCAGGCTGAGTCAGGCTGAGTCAGGTTGAGCCAGGCTGAGTCAGGCTGAGCCCTGCTGAGCCAGGCTGAGCGAGGGATGCGCGCGCGTGCCGCGGGACTAGGATCCGAGAGGCAGAGGCAGGCGCAATGCGCGTCGACGTCTCTGCACTGGGCTTCCCATTGCCCCCCCCCCCCCCCCACGTCTGTTGCTTTGCCTTCGTCAGCAGGCCAATGAGCAGCGTGGTGAGGTCTCGTCGCCTCGTCCCCGCGAACTTCACTCCTCGCACCCGTGACGAGGACTCGGCCTAGCGGCCACGTCGGCTGTCTCGTCTCATCCACGCTGTGTTCAACCACCACCACCACCAGCACCACCACCACCACCATAACCACCACCAGCAGTGTTCAACCACCAGCAGCACCACCACCACCACCAGTGTTCAACCACCACCATCATCACCACCACCAGCAGTGTTCAACCACCAGCAGCACCACCACCACCACCAGTGTTCAACCACCAGCACCAGCACGCTGCAGATTACAACAACGCACTCACCCGCTCACACACACACTCACTCGCTCACACACTCACATTCACACACCCACTCACTCGCTCACACACTCACTCACACACTCACACTCACCCACTCACTCGCTCACACACTCACTCACTCACCAGCTCACTCACCCACCCACTCACCCGCTCACACACACACACTCACACACCCACTCACCCGCTCACACACACATCCACTCACTCATACACCCACTGACCCACTCATACGCACACCCACTGACCCACTCATACACAACAACAACTGCCATTCGCCACTAAGTGGCGGTGACGTCACCACGACGCTTGTGCCAGGCCAAGTGCACCTTGAGGCCACGTGAAGTGTCGAACGCCCGCTGGCAGGAGGTCACCGGGCAGACCCAGCAGGTGCCACGGGTCGACTGACCGAGATGACCAAGATGACTGGCTGATGCACCACCTTTGCCCCCTCATACACACACCCACTGACACACTCACAAACCCACTGACACACTCACTCACCCACCCACCCACTGACCCACTCACAAACCCACTGACACACTCACACACTGACACACCCCCCCACCCACTCATACACACACCCACTGACCCACTCACTCACAAACCCACTGACACACACACACACCCAGCCACCAAACTGCAGGCTACCTCACTTCTCTTGCTGCATCTTCCCTCGCTCTGCTCCACTTTGGAAATCTCTCCTCCCATGATCGTCATCATTGTCTTAAAATCACAAGCTTGCTCAATTCAAGATACGTGATACACTTCTCGTATCTATGACATCTCTAATGATGATGCGTGTTGCTGGTCGCTTGGCGTCTTGCGCCTTGAGTCTGTGCTCAGCAACTGCGTGAAAAATAAAACAAAATAAACCAGGGAGTGTAAAACTACTAAACTATTTCAATTTTTTATATTTATTCAGAAGCAATCTGGCCACAAATAATAGCTCAACGCAGTAGCTCGTCACGTGCAAATGTATAGCAGCAGCCAAAGACTTTAGACGCGTGGTGATGTTGATTCTAAATGTGGAGGGAAAACCCGGAGGACCCCGAGAAAAATCCACGCGACCACGGAGAGAGAGAGAGAGACACGCAAACTCCAAATATACAGCAGGCATCGTCAGGGTCGGGATAGAACCCACGACCTCCTCTACACCAGGCGAGGTAGTTAACATCTCCTAGCCACCGCGATGATGATGAGAGAGAGACACGCAAACTCCAAATATACAGCAGCAGGCGTCGTCAGGATCGGGATAGAACCCACGACCTCCTGTACACCAGGCGAGATAGTTAACATCTCCTAGCCACCGCGATGATGATGGTAAGAGAGAGATACGCAAACTCCAAATATACAGCAGCAGGCGTCAGGGTCGGGATAGAACCCACGACCTCCTGTACACCAGGCGAGGCAGCTAACATCTAGCCACCGTGGCGCCCAGGTAATGACTCCCACGAGTACCCCCCCCCCCCGTGCAAACCGTGGCCTCCACCCCTCCACCTGGGCCCCCCATCCCTCCCCCCAGACCCCTCCACACCCTGACAGACCCCTCCACACCCCGACAGACCCCCCCAGACCCCTCCACACCCCGACAGACCCCATCAAAGCTGAACGCGACGCGCTCGTCACGCGCGGAGACCCTCATGCTCTGCACAGTGGCGACCACGTGATCAGCGGCGCGCGCACTGCTGGATGAGGGCCGTCGCGGGTCGTGCGGCCGTTGTTTGACCATACTTCACCACACTTCACCACACTTTACCACACTTCACCATACTTCACCAGCGCTTGCCAGTGCGGCGGGAGAGGGAAGGGAGGGATGAGGGAGGGGGCGTGGCCGAGGGAGCATACGAGTACAGTACAACATTTAACTCGCCGCGTTTGAGCTTTAAAAGCCACGACGTGCCCCCCGCTGCAAACCCATAGCACCTGCACAGCATGCATCCTGATCGCCCATCCGAGCCCTATCCAGGCTGAGCCCCGCTGAGCTTCCGACACGTGTCAAGGTGGCCGCGATGCCGGTGACCCGCTCACGGGCTTGGACTGATTCACGAATCGGCGCTCTCCTCGTTCATCGCGCGGCACACGGCAAGGGTCACGAGGCGGGGGAGCGGTGGCGCTGTGGTTAGCGCAGCGGCGCGCTGTGACCCCCCCCTCCCCCCGGCTGCTGTGGGGGATGTCAGAGGCGAGGGTGACGTGAGCGGCCGGCGTGGCGAGGTTTGGGTGAGAAGCAAACCGACACGCGCCACGGAGACACTCGCCAAGCAGTGGAGTCGCGAAGAGATTTTAGTGCAGTTCGCTCCCACGCACATGAACTCTCGCGCACATGAACTCTCGCGCACATGAACTCTCAAACACCTGAACTCCCAAACACCTGAACTCCCACGCACATGAACTCTCGCGCACATGAACTCTCGCGCACATGAACTCTCAAACACCTGAACTCCCACGCACATGAACTCTCGCGCACATGAACTCCCAAACACCTGAACTCCCACGCACATGAACTCTCGCGCACATGAACTCCCACGCACTTGAACTCCCACGCACGTGAACTCCCGCGCACATGAACTCCCGCGCACCTTGATGGAGGAGTCGGCGCAGGAGCCCCCAGAGCCGCGAGGAGCAAAACTCCACCACCTCCTCCTCCTCCTGCTGCTGCTGCCGCCGCTGCTGCGGGGAATGGTGCTGCACAGCAAGAACTGAAGCAGCGACACTTCCCCTGCTGCTGCTGCTGCGCGTGAGACGCGGCTCCCCGATGCCCCCCCCCCCACGCGCCGGCTTTCCCCCCACCCCTCCCACTCCTCCCCTCAGTCCTCCCCCTCCTCCCCCCAGTCCTCCCCCGCCACCTCCTCAAGTTGAGCTCATCATCACCAGTCACAGCCAATAGGAGCAGCGGGAACTCCCCCCCCAACTCCCATTCCCTGCCCCAGCCCCTCCCCCCAGCGCCCAGCCCCTCCCCCCAGCGCCCAGCCCCTCCCCTCAGCGCCCAGCCCCTCCCCCCAGCGCCCAGCCCCTCCCCTCAGCGCCCAGCCCCTCCCCTCAGCCCCCAGCCCCTCCCCCCAGCCGGGGGACCCCCGGCAAGTGACCGCACGAACGACGTCCGCGTCGAGGCCGCTTGCGGGTCGTGCGGGGGGCGGGGGGTTAATTGACCATACTTCACCGCGCCGGTCAGTGCGGGTCTGTGAAGCGGCGGCCGCTCACGTGGGAGCCCCCGAGTGCATGCCGGGACAGCGAGGATGCTGCTGCTGCACTGCCCTCTGCTGCCCACCCATCGAGCTCCGCCGGAGCCCATAGCACCTGTTATGCATGGTGGCTGCCCATCCCAGCCCTGGCCAGGCTAGGTGCTGCTTAGCTTCCAAGACCAGCGCGATTGAGCGCTGGTCTTGGAAGCTGACCCGGGTCATGTGGTCAGGTATTTGCACCACGTGGTCGCGGCGTAGCGAGGCATCAGTTAACGCGAGGGTTTGATGGAACAAAGTAAGTTGCAACTGACTTTACGTTTTCTACGAGTTACCTTCTCAATAAATCTGTCCGTGTCTCGCACCCCCAGAAAGGGCATCTCGCCCCCCCTCAGGTGAAGAAGAATAATAACAATAATAATAACCACCGAGCTCATCGATCACGGTCGATGCAGAAGCTCGCGACACGTGCAGCCATGGGGCAGGAGAAGCGGGGCAGGAGTACAGTACAACAACAACGACGACGACATCGAGTCGCGAATTTCCAATAGGACCACGCGCGGTCAGAAGGGGAATCGACGCCTCTTGCCCACAGCCCCCCCGACTCCCCCCACCTCTACGAGCCCCCCCCACCCCCGCCCCCCACTCGCCGTGATCTCAATCAGGAGCCTCGCGCCGATTCGCCGCAGGGGGGGGGGGGGCTGAGGGGGGGGCTGCGATGAAGAGGCGCGAGCACTCGGGCCCTGCCCTGGGGGCTAAACACGGGGACCGCGGGGCGGGCGCTGGGGAGAGGAGGGGAGGAGGGGGGAGGGTGAGGGGGGGTGGAGGAGAGGAGGGGGAGGGGAGGGGAGTGCGAGGTGGGGGAGAGGAGGGGGTGAGGTGGGGGGGTGAGGGGGGGGCGAGGTGGGGGAGAGGAGGGGGAGGGGTGAGGGGGGTGCGAGGTGGGAGCTCAAGAGGCGTTGGTGCCAAATATGAGCGAATTTAAGTGATTCTGCAGACACGTGCCGTGCTTGCTGCACGGTGGCAGCCACCACCAACAACAACAGCGGCAGCAGCCACCACCACCACCAACAACAACAGCAGCAGCAGCCACCACCACCACCACCAACAACAGCAGCAGCAGCAGCAGCCACCACCACCACCAACAACAGCAGCAGCCACCACCACCAACAACAGCAGCCACCACCAACAACAACAGCAGCCACCACCACCACCAACAACAGCAGCAGCGGCAACAACAGCAGCAGCCACCAACAACAGCAGCCACCACCAACAACAACAGCAACCACCACCACCAACAACAACAGCAGCCACCACCACCACCAACAACAACAGCAGCAGCCACCACCACCACCAACAACAGCAGCAGCAGCCACCACCACCACCAACAACAGCAGCAGCCACCACCACCAACAACAACAGCAGCAGCCACCACCACCAACAACAACAGCAGCCACCACCACCAACAACAACAGCAGCAACCACCACCACCAACAACAGCAGCAGCCACCACCACCACCAACAACAGCAGCAACCACCACCACCAACAACAACAGCAGCAGCCACCACCACCACCAACAACAACAGCAGCCACCACCACCACCAACAACAACAGCAGCCACCACCACCAACAACAACAGCAGCAGCCACCACCACCACCAACAACAACAGCAGCCACCACCACCACCAACAACAACAGCAGCCACCACCACCAACAACAACAGCAGCCACCACCACCACCAACAACAGCAGCAACCACCACCACCAACAACAACAGCAGCAGCCACCACCACCACCAACAACAACAGCAGCCACCACCACCACCAACAACAACAGCAGCCACCACCACCACCAACAACAGCAGCAGCAGCCACCACCACCACCAACAACAACAGCAGCCACCACCACCACCAACAACAGCAGCAGCAGCCACCACCACCACCAACAACAACAGCAGCCACCACCACCAACAACAACAGCAGCCACCACCACCACCAACAACAACAGCAGCCACCACCAACAACAACAGCAGCCACCACCACCACCAACAACAGCAGCAGCAGCCACCACCACCAACAACAACAGCAGCCACCACCACCACCAACAACAACAGCCACCACCACCAACAACAACAGCAGCCACCACCACCACCACCAACAACAGCAGCAGCAGCGGCCACCCCAACAGCGATAAACTTGCCAGTTAGCAACAACGCAGCGAATGCACCGAGGCGGCTCACGGCCCAACTTGCCTGGCCACACGCGACGTCACCGCACCTGAAGCACGCCGCCCTCACCTGGCGGTGACCTCTTCGCTACAAGGTCACCGCATCGAGCAAGGAGGGTCGCGTTTGGGGTGGGCGCCTGGGGTGGGGGGGTGTGGGGGGGTACCATTTCCCTCCCTCTGTCCACCCCACCACCCTCCACCCCAACTCCTCACTGCTCACAATTCTGTTCGAGGACTCCACGTCGCTGGACCGCGCTGCCGAAGCCAAAAGCGGGAGGAGCGGCGGCCACTGGCCAAGCAAATCAGAGAGAGAGGAGAGAGAGAGGAGAGGAGACGGAGTTCGCGTTCACTTGGTTGTGGCCGTTGCGGGCCAAGTCGGGTGTGTTGTTACCGCCACGTGGGGCGGCGTGGGGGAGTCGTGCGAGCAGAAACACGTTTACTGGCCACGGTGGAGATGGAGACACGGAGACACAAAGACACTGGGACACTGGGACAGAGACACAGAGACGCTGGGACACTGGGACACTGAGACACACTGAGATACTGAGACACTAAGACACTGAGACACTGGAACACTGGGACACTGGGACACTGAGACACTGGGACACTGGGACACTGGGACACTGAGACACTGGGACACTGGGACACTGGGACACTGAGACACTGGGACACTGAGACACTGGGACACTGGGACACTGGGACACTGAGACACTGGGACACTGAGACACTGGGACACTGGGACACTGAGACACTGGGACACTGGGACACTGGGACACTGAGACACTGGGACACTGGGACACTGGGACACTGAGACACTGGGACACTGGGACACTGAGACACTGGGACACTGAGACACTGGGACACTGAGACACTGAGACACGGAGACACAGAGATGCTGAGACACGGAGACGCTAGGACACTGTTGAGCTCTTGTTGTTTCGAGAAGTCTGACACAGTGACACACCGTGACGTGTCAATGTGTTTGATAGGAGACAGAGAGAGAGACACAGACACACAGGGTAACAATCCATTGAAAGATCGCGGCAGACATAAAGTTGGGACGTCGCGGTACGCGGCAGACATCGTCGGTGCAGTGGGGCAGCGGCTCGCGGGAGACGGGGGGGGGTGACAAGACGCGGGGCTTGTGATCGTGGCACGAATCACGAAGCGATCCCAAATGCGAAGTTCGCAGATGCACCCCTCAAGCACACGTGGATTCACACAGCACATGGATTCACACAGCACGTGGATTCACACAACACGTGGATTCACACAGCACGTGGATTCACACAGCACATGGATTCACACAACACGTGGATTCACACAGCACGTGGATTCACACGGCACGTGGATTCACACAGCACGTGGATTCACACAGCACGTGGGTGACAGTGAGTGTGTGCACGTGGTCATTCAGCGTTGGCTACTCCCGTGCCCTGGACAGCCCTGGACGCGGCATGACCCAGTGCGCGATGGTTCAACAACTCGACTCCAAGTTTACAGACCCCGAGACACCCACCCCGCACCCGCCCCACCACTCGTGAGCGACAATTGCAATCAGATATCCCACAATGCACTCCACCCCGTGTGACGAGGACGCGGCGTGTCAAGATGCGACCGCGTGTCGGGACGCGGGGCACAGGGGGGCCGAGCCAGGCAGAGGGGCGGGTGGGGCACAGGGGGGCCGAGCCAGGCAGAGGGCGGGTGGGGCACAGGGGGGCCGAGCCAGGCAGAGGGCGGGTGGGGCACAGGGGGGCCGAGCCAGGCAGAGGGCGGGTGGGGCACAGGGGGGCCGAGCCAGGCAGAGGGCGGGTGGGGCACAGGGGGGCCGAGCCAGGCAGAGGGGCGGGTGGGGCACAGGGGGGCCGAGCCAGGCAGAGGGCGGGTGGGGCACAGGGGGGCCGAGCCAGGCAGAGGGCGGGTGGGGCACAGGGGGGCCGAGCCAGGCAGAGGGCGGGTGGGGCACAGGGGGGCCGAGCCAGGCAGAGGGGCGGGTGGGGCACAGGGGGGCCGAGCCAGGCAGAGGGCGGGTGGGGCACAGGGGGGCCGAGCCAGGCAGAGGGGCGGGTGGGGCACAGGGGGGCCGAGCCAGGCAGAGGGCGGGTGGGGCACAGGGGGGCCGAGCCAGGCAGAGGGGCGGGTGGGGCACAGGGGGGCCGAGCCAGGCAGAGGGCGGGTGGGGCACAGGGGGGCCGAGCCAGGCAGAGGGCGGGTGGGGCACAGGGGGGCCGAGCCAGGCAGAGGGGCGGGTGGGGCACAGGGGGGCCGAGCCAGGCAGAGG